GGAACTACCAATTTTTTTATCTCTGTGATCAATTATCTTGTACTCACTAAGAGCCACCAATTTAAGAGTATATTTGGAATTTAAAAATTCAAAAATATATTCACCCACCCTAACGGGTTGTTTCATCTTTGCTTTCAAACAAAGTCATATAGCAATCATATATGTTATAATTAACATAAGGATAACATACTAATCGTCTCTGATTAATTCAGAGATATTATCATGTAATCTTATGATTTCCTTTAATCACACTTGATCTCTCTATATCTTCTTTTAAGAACCTTGCAAGGCTTAAGGTTGACAGGTGTAACAACATTTACGTTGTCACCTCTTGAAGCTATTTCTGAAAAATCACAATAAAATTTCACTATTTTGTTTTTCGAAAAACTAAACTTAACACTAGAAAATCCACAGTTTGAAATTTAATTCAAAACTAATCTCACCACTTACCCTAGAATCGAACATGGTCAGGAAAGTTTCTAGGAAGACTAGAAGAGTCACACTAGTCCCACTTAAGACCCAGTTAACCTTAGACCAAACTTTCAAAAACATGTTGGCTCCTAATTCACGAGAAACAAATTTAGAATTAAGTTTTTTAGGAGATAAATCACGTTAAAACAAACCAATTCCCAAGCAAATGACATTTGGTACCAAAATTACACCATTCATAAAAATTAACCGATACTCTTGGAACTAAGCCCATTTTCTGAAAAAAAATCATAAATATTTTAGCTAATGCTAAAATTTGGTTTATTTTCTCAAAATCAAAACACTTTAGAAATAATCAGATTATAACCAAAGACTTTCTCCAAATTTGATTTTCCAACACTTTGGGAATAAAATGATTAAACCTAAAGACTTCCTCAAACCCCAAAGGTTTGAAACCAAATCCGTCTTAGATATCATTTCTGAACAAATAAAAAACACTTTTTAGCCAAGGCTAAACACTTTGGTTTCTATTACAAAAAACCAAACCAAGTTCCAAATTTACAAGTAATTTAAAAATTGCTAACCAAATTACAAGTAATGTAAAAAATTACTACAACAATGATTAAGCAAATAAAATGATTCTACCAATACAAACAAATAAAAGTTGCTTTTGCACAGTTGGTAAAAATCAACTAAATCCAAGCAAAAAATTGCTTCACTAAACAAATGTAAACCAATCCAAATAGGATTATCCATTTTCTAAACTCCTTTCCTCGCTTAGGTATTTCTATTCAAAAATGGTTAGTAGTCCATAATTTTGTTTTACAGTCCCAAATCCTATTCATTTGATTTTGTATTTGTTTTTTCAATCCCTTTAGCGTAGGTATTCTTGTGAAGAAAGTTAGCAGAAAAACACAAGAAAATACAAACCAAACAATCTAAAGAAACATGAAACCATCTAGCAGTCTATTTAATAATACAAATTAACTAATTAAAATGCTAGGTGAGTTACAACTATAAACCTTAAGAGTTACAAAATAAACCTATAACTCTAAGAATTAAATTAAAAATTTAATAGTCACTAGTTATGAAATTAATTCACAATAATCATGTGAATAAATATACAATGAACACTTTTAATTGGCAAGAGTTACAAATGAATTTATACAAAATCATAATCATGTAATACACATGTGACACTTTGTAGCAATTAACATGTAAATAAAATCATACACATAACTTTAGAAATAATAACCATGTAACAAAAAATTAAAATTTAGAAAATTTTGAACATGCAAATTATGCTATGAAACTATAAAACGAAGCATACAAATCATGGTAAGAAATAAAAAACATGCTCATGAAATTATATTACAATAATTAATATGCAAATATTACTAGATATCTAGCAATAAAATATTCTAAATAAAACATAACATTGCATAATCATAATTCCAATCATACATACCCAGGAAAAAAAAAAAACAGTGGGCAATACAATTCTTTGAAACAGTTCCGATTAAATATGAATTAATATTTTATATTCAGATACTAATTATAACAAACAACTACTATGCAACAGTAGGCAATCAAGATGAAAACAATGGCATTCAAATTATATGAATTTAACATTCCAATCATGACTATCATTACAGTTCTGGGCAAAATTAGTATTATGCAAATATGACATGGAAACCAAAGAAAAGTAGGCATTATAACCAAAGCAATTCACAGTGACATGCTGGGAATTATAAAGTAATTGACCTTAGATATTTTAGTACTATGGGGCTAACGCAGCAGTATGCAGATTCATATTCTAAAATAATGCAACGTATATAATATTTTAACCTATTACATGTATGAATTTATTTATCTAATTTTATGGGAAACATATCTAATCTGTCTTCAAATTGTTATCTAAATTGTGTAAATCAAACAAGATAAATAAATTAATGATTAATCAATTACTTTATAGAATAAGAAAACATGTCGTATATTACAACCATATTGCATAGAAATACATAATACGATAAATGGTAAAAAAAATAAACCAAAGTTTGTATGATACCACAGTGTCCTTAAAACAGATTAGTCGTCTCACTGTGGATGCTGGAGGTACGTTGACTTCTGTCTCCCAAGATACGACAGTTTAGACCAGCTAATGCAGAAGCACCTTCTGTTAATTTTGGTAAACCGACAATGACAGTACTTTCTCACACAGGAAGAAAATTATAAAAGGAGACTGACTTGACTATAATTTGAGAGCAAAATTTCTCTCTTGAACCCAAGGGAGATGGGCCTCCTTTTATACACAATGGAGGGGAGAGAAGTAATCTTCCAGCCATGAAGGCTGGCAACTAATGCCCATTACTCCTGGAGTAATGCACACAATTGATGGAGATTCAATGTGTGAGTTACACACATTATACATCTATGTGTATATATATATTTCTAGCAGACCTGGCCCAAAAAGGTTAGGTTGGTGGACCACTAATTTGGTCCAGCCCAAACCTAACTCATTTCAGCCAGCCTCAGCCCAAGCCCACGGATCACAGACCGGTCCGGGCGAGTAGCGTGTATGGCAATTTTGCCATAACCAACTTGGACCCTAGTCTTGGCCCAAACCCATCCTTGAAGCATCTATAACTCCCTTCCTTTGAAAAATTTAGATGCTCTAAAAGGGCTCATGCCTTTATCAAAATCTTGAGGTTTAAATACCTATCAAAGTTTTCCTCTACAATCAATGTGAGATTGGTAGCTATACACAATTCTCAATATCTCATTCACGAGGCCATCTTTATGAGACAATCTTTATGAGACTATTTCTCATCCAATTCTCAATGATTTTTTGTCATTCTTTTGGTGGTGTAAAGACTTTGTTACAAAGAATCTAAACCTATTTAATCCCATTTCAACCAATGGTTGGGACTTACTTTAATTTCACATTAAAGTCACAAAAAATCATTTTTTTTTCCAATAAGGAGTTGATTAAACAAGTAGCTTTTCCAACCCCCCACTTCTCTTCTTTCTGTCGATTGCTGTATTTTTTATTTTTTTGTTCTTATTTAAGTTTATGTAACTAATAGCAAGTGACAAATTAATTGAACAAATACATATTCTTTTATGTTTCAATCCTTCTTTACGTAATTATCTCCAGAGAAGTCTTTAATCTGTTTTTAAGGTATCGAACTCAATCACAAAGTTTGATCTTTTTTGCGTTTATTAAAATTTGTTTAAATCTGCCTATCGAATCATTATCGATTAGGCTCGAACTAAATTTTTACCATCTTAAATCTTTATTTTCAAAATTCTTAGAGGCAGAGAAGAGAGACAATCCCCCTTCAATTTAAAAAAACCTTTTTAATAAGATTTTATTAAAAAAATTCATATTATGGCCTGATAAGATATTTAAAGTTGTGAATGGAGCTCACGATGCACTCCATTCTGTTTTGTAATGATTTTTATTTTTTGTGTGATTAATCTATATATTTATGCCACCAACTTCCCGATTGGGGGAGGAAAGGATACTTCCATATGCACTCACATTTTCTATAAAAAAAAAAAATTAAAATTAAAAAAAAAAAAAAGAATAGAAAGGATGTTCTATGAAAATTGTGGGAAAAAAGAAAGTGCAAAACAGACAAAAAGAAGATTAAAAAATAAATAAAATAATGATAACAATAAGTCGTTAATTGGTTGGTGGAGTCCAGTATCATTCTAACCACTGTTGCCTTTTGTGCTTCCACATTTAGTGGTGGTTAGTTATTCAAATAGTACTAATATTAAAAAACAACATACTATTTTTCATATATATATACATATATTATGGACTAGCCCTACTAGACTAGTGGAACTTTTGTTGATGCCAACGGTCAAACTTTTTTCTTTTTTCTTTTTTTATGAAAAATGAACAAGAAAATTTTCAATAATGAGGATGTCCACAATTTTGTAGAAAAAAAAAAATAAATAAATAAAATTACAAGGAGTTGTGTTTTACTATTAAATTTCAATGCAATTATGTTCATTTCAAATCAATGAAGGTTCACATTAGGATAACAATGGTAATCCACTTTTAATATAGTTGATAGAATTTAAATCTTGATATCTGCTTGATAATTATTGTCATATTATATCTGGCCCAACTCAACATTTGTAGCTTATGTTATTATTTTACATAAAATATAATCAAGATCTTAGAATTGGCTTGTCTACCTTTTCTCAAACTTACCCTTAAAAGATGTTTGAAATTTTGTCTTTCCAACCATAACACACCATTAACTATCTGTAGAACATTAGATAAGCTCTCATCATCAATCTTTTATTCAAAACATCAAAATATGCTTTACATATTTATGAAATCTTTTGTACAAAGCACTACACCATCTCTTTAGTTGTTCTACTTCTCCTAAAAACTCATTTATCTTCTAATCTAGCACTCCATTACCACATCCCATGACTAAAAAACCAATCTTAATTCACAAGAAAATATATATATATATATATATTAACAAAAAGATTTCATTATTCTATCTCCACTTTTTAATGCATGCATTCCTCAATGCATCTTAATATAATTGAAAAAGACCTTTATTGATGCAACACACAAATACAAAAAAAGTGGAGCATAAATAGTATTACGTATAGGTAAAAAATAAAAAATAAAAAATAAAAAAGGTGAGCTGAGAAAAGCCAATAGTATCTCATGTTAGTTGAAATAATTTCTTGAGCGCATTGCTTTTGGCAAAATAATTCCCAAGGGAATTGGTTTTCCTACACAATTCATTCGACATTCGGTTGTCCCTTTGAGGAATCACTTGGTCATTAGAGGGTGTTATGATTGTCTCATTGCCTAAAATAACTCCTTGCCTTTGTATGTACTCCCATTTGTCTTGGAAGAGGTAGAAGAACACAATGAAGAATATTTGAGTTGTGAAAAGGATGGTCCAAACCCTAATACTTCTTGATGTTCTCTTATGGTAGGCTTGTAACCCGGTGTAAATGTTGAAAATTCCCAATAGAGAGATTGTTGTTCCGAGTGCCCAATGCACAAAGTACCATACACTTCTACCTTTACTTCCCCTGCATACAAAGTGTGAAAATTGAAGTGAAAACTATATGAAATTTGATTGAACGCAGTTGATCCTTTGGTTGTGGTTTCATTATCTTTATTTTTTGTTTTTCATGTTTTCAAAAACAAAATAATGAAAATTTGAGAAAACACATTGTTTTGATGTTGATTCATTTTTCTTTTCTTTTTTTGTTAAAACAAATTTCAAAAAACACTTTTGGGTATTTCCTAGAAAATGGGTTGCTTTAGAAAATGTTCTTCGAAATAATTTTAAAAAATAGTGCGGGAAACATTATGTTTTTAAGAAAATGAAAAGAAAAAAACAATAACAATTTAAAGTTTGAAATACCCATTGTTTATCGAAATTTGAAAACTTTTTGGAGTTTCCCATAACAAGTATTGCTTTTCTTTTAAAAAAAAAAGTTAAATAAATAGATTTTGGAAACACTTTGCCAAACAAGTTCCTTGTGTTTTCCGAAAAATGAAAACAGAAAACATGAACACAATACTCTAACCCTGATTAAATTAGCACAAAAAGTGCAAATTAACATGGTTGAAATCCAATAGCTGCATCAAAAACCTCTATATATTTTGTAAAAACTGCAAAACTTTTGTATTTATATACTGGAACAATAACAAAACTAAAATTCATTATTCCTCTACTTTGCAACAACATTTTTTGACCATTGGGCTTTTAAATTTGCTTAATTTTCTTGATTAGGTTTATGTGTTTTCAAGTGTGAAGAAATCAAATGAAATAATTACCGTCGAGGCCTACGAAATGCAATCAAGGCTTGCAACCAAATGGCACCATAAAGAGCTAAACCTATTCTTTGGTGATTGTTGTTGAATGCATTCTCAAAACTTCTTATGGATAGTATTGCCCCAGCTGTGGCTAGAAGCAATGAAAGTGTCTGTTCAATAAAAAAATAAAATAAATTTATTATTTTAGTACATGAAAAGGATTGTTTGGTCCAATAGTAGGGCTTGCTGTTAACATTTCTGGTGACACAAGTTCGAGTCACAATAATATTCTCTCCAAAAATAAGAATAAGACTGTACACATCTTATCATTTGCAAAACCTGTTTTACCGTTTTTGTTTTTCTTCTTAACTCTATACATAGATTAGAAGAAAAATAAAACAAAATCTTGTGCATTGGGTCACTCCTTTTAATAAAAGGTAAATTATACTGTCATCAGCTGAGATTTCTATTTAATACAAATCTTTCTCTCACATTTGAAAAATTACACTTGCCTCATTGTCAGATTAAAATGACATACACATAAAATAATAAAATAATGCATATATTTTGTTCATGTTATTTTAAGAAAAATGGCAAATCTTCTTTGATTTAACTCACACAGAAAATTGAGTTTCTTCTCTCTTTTTTTATTGAATTTTTTTTTAATATTTTAAGCATTTTTTTTTAAATTTTTTTTAGATACACCTAATCTAGATATACTTAAGAAATATAATATTTTGTGATTTTTTTAAATTCACGAAATACAAAAAAAAATATAAAAATATAAAAATTCAATACATTATCTTATTTTGTTGTATTCAATAGATTTTTTTAAAAATTTTTATACAAATTTTATACTTTTTAAATATATCTCGATTAAATTGATCTAACTAGATATAATGATAGAAATAAAAATGAAAAATTATATTCATATATAAAAATTTATAGAAAAAATATTATAAAAATATTGTGATAGTGATATTATTGTAAATATAAATCGTGTTTATAAATCTTTTGTTTTAAAGTGAAAGGTTATTATTAAGCTATATCATTGTGTTTGAAAATTATATATAAAATATATGTTTATATATCATCATTCAATAACAATATATTCAGTTAGAATTTAATGATGAAAAATTGTAGAATGTAGACATGATGATAGGAAGAAGAAATGGTTAGAAAAATGACAAGATGGTCATTTAAAAATTTTAGGATATGAACATTAGCAATCCATGGGACAATTTGTAATGAAATTACAAACCTTAAGAAAGAAAATGTAATTTTTCAAAAGTGATGAGAGAATCTATATTAAACAGAAATCTCAAAAGGTGTTAGTGTAATTTACCCTTTGTTAAAATAGATATAGTGAAAAAAAAAATGAAAACATAGACTTAAACATCGTCATGGTACGAGTATGTCATATTCAATACTCCTTCTAAAGCATGTAATCTTCCCAAATATTGAACATCATTTTATCATTAGTTTCACCTATAAGTGTAGAATTTGATGACAAACCATGATATGTAATAGTTTGCTTAAATGTTGCATAGTCACACCCTTTTCTTGCCACCAAAGTGTTCTGATAAGCATGGTTGGATTTTTACTAAACTACCATCAAACTATGGGCTGAATTGACATATATTTGTGGCTCATAAAGTATTCACTACAATTTTTTTCTGACCATATTAAAGGTAAGGATAAATTATCTACACCTTCCTTAATGTTTAATTAAATTATAAATTTTCTTTTGAGATTTTAAAAATTACATTTCGCTCTCTGAGGTTTATATTCGCATAACAATTTAATCTCTATTATTAACTAAACGTTAATAGTTAGCTGACATCATCAAAATATAAATTGATGAACGATATTGCCCATATTGAAATCCTTTTGATAAATCAACAAAATTTACGAAAGAATTATGTTAGACGGAAAAAAAAAATTTGGAACCATGTTTGATTTGTTGTTTAGAAAAAAAAATCAGAATTTAAAAAAAAAACTAATTTAATAAAAACAAATATGAAAAAATATATTTTATTTGTAAAAATTATTTCTAACCACTCAAAAGATAAAATTATATAAAAATAATAATAACTTTTTATTTTTTATTTCTTAACCAAATTAATTTTTAATTTTTTTTAAAAAAAATTCTAAAAATCAAACCGAGCATATTCTAAGAATTTTTTGACAAACCATTTCTTGTGTTTTTAACTTACTTAATTATTTGTTAATTTTATAATATTTTCACCATCTGACACTACAACATGTAAGAGTTTTAGAAACAAATTTTTTTGATCTCTAAAAGTGAAAATTTTGTTGCAAAAGACATTAGGGACTAATTCTATCGTTGTGAGGATAGTTGTTAAAAGGTCGCCTTAAAAAGTTAAAAATAAGATTTTTAGCATAAAATTTTGAAAATGTCAAATAATAAATAGACTTTTAGGGACAAAATAATTTGGTCTAAAAATGATTTTTTTTTAGACAAAAAATTTGATACTAAAAAGATAATAATTAATCACTATTGTTCAATTTTCATTACAAAAAATATAATAATGACACTTTTCGCAACAAAAATATTTGGTCCCCTAAAAATAATTTTGTCCCTAAATTTTGGTCTCTAAAACCTTAATTTTTTGTAGTGTGATAAGTATTTTTCCATTTTAATTTTGCATTTCATAACTTATTTAAAAATGATAAGTTAGCTAAACCTCACAGGAAAATCTGTAATTTAGCTAAATCTTAGGAGAGAATCTGTAATTTAACTAAATCTCAAGGGAATGTAGATAGTTTGCCGTTATCTGTCAAAAGGACATTTTAGTCAATTCACGATATCTGTTAACGGCGTTAGTTGTGATGAGGCGGGATATAATTTTTGAAACCTCAAGGAAAAATTTGTAATTTCGTTAAACCTCAAGGGAGGTGTAGGTAATTTTCCCAAAAGTGAAAGTTAAAGTGGGACTTTTGATTATGTAGCAAACAAAGTTCAAATCTTTAATCATGTTGTCACACCAAACAAGAGCAGTACTTTGGTCCCCATAAGAATTGGCTCCAAACAATGCTATGGTGTGATTCTTTTATGACAGATTACTCAAACCCACTTATCTTGTCATTTGGTACAAGATTTTATGAATAAACTCCAAATACACGTAATTACGTCTGTAACAATTGAACATATATGTGTATAGTTTTCTTGTGAGAATAAATTAAAAAACAGATTTTGAATTTGAAAACCAGGGTAAGATGAGATTTTGAAGAAGGAGGGTAAACCTGCAAAATGGCATGGAAATAGAAGAGTCCTCTGAACCATCTTCTGCATTCCTCTCTGTGGGACAGTCTAATTGTAAGTATCCCAAGTGGCATCAACAATCCCATTGATGCCCACAACAGAACTCCATGAACTGTGATGTCAAATGTCTTCTGATGGCTCACCACCTCCTAACAATGAAAATTTATTGAGTTTGGAATATTATTAGATATTTTTAGATTACCATGTGTTATTGTTTATATGGTATTCTTGTCTAACGAGAAACTGTAACGCAGACTAAGGAGGTCCCTAACTATAAAGCAAAGGAATTTACATCAATTTCTTGGATAGTGTTTGATTCACTGGAAAGATTTTAGACACGAATGAAATGGGTATTCTTCAGTCTTGAAATAAAATGTCCATTTTCTTTTTTACCGAATCAAATACATGAAAATGGATGTTCCGACAGAATGAGCATCCGTTCTAGTAATATTCATGGGTTTTTATGAAAGAAAAAATAAAATAAAATTGAATGAATGACTGACCTTGTGATTGGTGGCTTTGTTGAGATGATCATGTGATGAGCAGCCTACAAATGGGAGGAAAAGAAGAATGAAGTTTGCATGAGTGGTGGTGGTGGTGGTGGAGTATACTACTAGCTTCTTCATAATTTGCATTCTCAAAATCTCTTGCTGGTAAAACAATAAGTCTAAACAGAACAGCCCTTATTTCAACAGAAAAATGTGTATATATATGCAATAGTTGAAGATGCTAAACTAGCTGTTATGCAGCAGATGAGCAAGCCCCAATACCCACTTAGTTCTCTCTCTCTCTCTCTCTCTCTCTCTCTCTCTCTCTGTGTGTCTCTGTTTTCAACATGTCATCCTTCTTTCTCAAGACAAAACAGACACTATTGACTACTTTCTATTTGAATATGGCAGTAAGAGATTTTGTGGTAGGTGTAAAGAAGTCATTTTCATATGCTATACACAGGATTTAGTTGTAACCTATTTTCTTTTTAAACAAGCAACTAGGGGATGACTAGGAATGATGAGGAAAACAAAAGAGCTAGCTAGCTTAGATATTATACGACTAGTTGTGGGTTTTCTAAGGTATGGATTTTAAGCCCCTGGATTGAGAATTTGAAAAAGAACTTATAATAGGAAAAGGAAAAAAAGAAAAGTGAATAAAATATAACTTAAATATTCTTTACTTTTTTTTGCTCCTTCACAAATCTTTTTTTTAAATTCTTGATCTAAATATAATCCAAATGGATATTTTGACGGGACAAATGTGAAGATTTGAAATAAAGGATCAGTAAAAAAAATTTGATTAGACGAAATTTCATACAAAATTTCGCTTTGACCTCTCTAATTTTGGTTGTAACAATTATTTCTACACTTTTGATCGAGTTATGATACTATACCCAAACGTGAGTTGTGGAAAATAGCCATATGACAATCTCATGCAATTGTCACATGACTATTTCCTGGCAATTGATGACTAAATACATTGCAACTTGATTAAAAATATAAAAAATAATTGTGACAATTAAAATAAATAAATAAATACAGTGAGATTGTGTGTAAAATATAGAGGTACTAAAGATAAAGATAGTGGTTGATTTTAACAATGTTGGGCTCAAAGTGCCAAGCTTTTGAAGTAATTTCGGAGTTATTTTGGGAAATAGATTAAAAGTTATTTTTTTAATTTTTTTTTAAAAAAAAAATGTGTAAAAAAGTTAAAGAGATGATAAAAAAAATTAAAAATAAAAATAAAAAACCGAAGTTGCCAAAATGGGCCGGAGATGGCGCAAACTGTTGAGTGGCAGCAATGCCAGAAAGGTCAGAAAACTAATTATATGTGAAGAGATAAAAAAATAAAGGGGAAGAAATAGTTGTGGCATAGTTTTAGTGGATGTGGAAAGTAAGCTTTTTTTTATTGGTCCAGCTTGTCTCAAGTTTGGGGTTAAAATTGGACCGCTCAATCCGTTTCATAGATTTATTTTTGGGTCTCGTTTTAATAATTCGAATCGTTCAATGTGTAGAACTCATCTAGTATTATATCTTTATAACAATCATGTTAATCGGATATCGATAGCTATTTGATCGGATCAGATTTTTATCAACCATTTATTTTTTCATCGTTCATTTTTTTATACAAATCTGATCCAATTAAATAGCTATCGATATCCAATCAACTTGACTTTTTACAGAGATATAGTACTCAATGAATTTTACACATTAAACGGTTTGAATTATCAAAATGGGGCTCAAAAATAGGCCCATAGGCCAAACTAGACCGTTCCATTTCAAACCTAGGACAAGCTGCACCCTTTTTATTTATGCATTTCATTCCAACAAAATCAAAAGTCTTATATACTCTTTATTTATTTATTTATCAGGACCTTCCTTAACATATTAACATATTAGGATACATATAATTATTCACAAATTATGCGTTTTAATTAAGAGATTATAATACATAAGGACTATTAGTAGTCAAATTTTTTCGTCTTCAAAAATGTAACTTTTGTGGTAAAAAATATTAAGACACCAATTCTAGTTGTCTAGTGAGTAGTCACAAAAAGCCTTCCCAAAAGTTTTTTTTTTTAAAAAAAAAAAAAAGTTTAGCAACAAAATTTTAAAATGTCACTAATAAATATAATTTTAGGAACAAACAATTTTGTGTCAAAAGGCTTATTTTCCTTAGAGGCAAATTTTAGTCAAAATGATAGTAATTCATTACTAAATATCTAATTTTGTTACTAAAAATACAATAATGACATTTTTAGCATTCAAGACATTTTGTTCTTAAAAAGTGATTTTTATTCTTAAATTTTTGTTTTAAAAATCTTAATTTATTATAATAAGCCTTGTTGGAGAATCAAATCTAGAATGTTGTTCATGTCAACAAAAAAAAAAAGCTGCTTTTTTTTTTTTTTTCAACCACTAAGCTACTTGTCTAGATTCAAAAGTTTTATACATGTAAAATCCATAATAATTAATCTTTGAGAACAATGGTTATTTTATTTAAAATGACCAAAAGAAAAACGATGATGGTCGCATCTTTAAATTTAGCTTAAGATATTAGTTTCCAACTAATTTCAGAATTATTGCTTGAACTTTTTTCTTGCCTTTAAAAATGACTTGAGTTTCATAATTTCAACCATTGTTTTGCGGGGGATTTGGTTAAAAGTCCCTCATAATAAAATTTTAATACATTAAGGATAAACACAAAAAAAAAATTTTGAAAAGACCAACACATACTATTATTATCAAAATATTAAATTTTAAAATAATATAACTTTTGATATACATGTCGATTTTTAATAAAATTAGTATTTTTAAAATTCTCTCATCAAGATCTATCAAATAAGATTTATATTGGCTATGAAATTCTTAAAAAAAAAAAATTATTGCTATTGAAATTGATGCAAACAGTAACAGTAACATATTACTCTAATTCACAGTAACATATTACTCTAGTAATATTATCCAAGAAAAAAATATATATTTTATTTTATCCTTATTCAATTATATATTTTCTCCTTAAGAAATTTATGAAACAAAATAAATTAAATTGTCATTTTCACAAAAATAAAAGTTCAGTATAACGGTTTGACTAAATTTTCCTTATTTTCTCACATGAAATCACCAACCTTGAGGACAACCATCATGATGCTCCACTGACTAGGGTGACTAAAAAAGATTTATAACTACACAAGGGCAAAGTTCACTTGCTAATATTGGAAATGTAAAAGAAAAAAATTTAAAAATTATAAAAAAAAATTGTAAAAAAAATTATAAAATATTTTCAAATTCTTAAAAAATATATTAAATTTAATAACAATAATTATCTTAAAATCTACACACACACACAAAAAAAATTGCCATTTTCTTATATTCTAAGAGCTCTTATTTCTAAGACTTAATAAAAAAATAGACTATGGCAGTCTGTCCACTTCAAAGCCAAGCATTAGGGCGTTGTTCCTTTCACTCTCCTCCCAATAAATAAATAACAACCCACCACTGTATAATATGTAATGATGAAATCTTGAATTAGTTTTCATGCATAATATGTAATGATGAAATCTTGAATTAGTTTTCATGGGATGCATTACAACAACACTTCCATGACCAATGGTTTTTACTGTAAGGTGCATGGGATTTACACCACTGTAATCTTGGAATATAATTAGAAATTTTAAATTTTAAAATAAAATATCATTACTTTCTGTATAAAAACAAAATTCTTACAAATATTTATGCGATTATGATTATCGGTTTAGTATAATTTTTTTTTATAAATTATTTATAAATCTAAAAAATAAATAGATTGAATTATCAACATGGGACTTAGGCCCATTTGCTTTGGCGTATAAAGGGAGGGATAGAATTAGGATAGAGATGAGACTCATTTAATGTTATGTTTGTTTGTGGATTTGACAAAGGGATTGAGATGAAGAAGGGGATTAGGTTGGGCCTTGGAAGGGAGATTAGGATGGAGGAGGTGGAGGTTGTATTAGAAAGATAGTCCACCGAACTAGAAATTTTTAAATTTTTTTTTGTATTTTTTAGATGTTGGGCATTTTTTTTTGAACATTAATGTTTAATTTTTTTGTATTTTTTGTTAAATAAAAATCATTGTTTTATTTGTTTTATTTTTTCTGGAAATTTTTTTTGTTGGGCATTTTTTTTTTGAACATTAATGATTAATGTTTTTGTATTTTTTCTATTTGTTTTATTATTTTATATAAAAATAATTTAACGATCCCTACACTAACAACTATCATCAAAACAAATACAATTTTACTTAATTCCCTTACTAACAATCTTCTCACTATGAATCTCCTTTATTTTACCTCCTGTACCTCTGAAAACAAACGGGACCTTATGATAAACTTAAAAAGTTGAACGGTACAATCTGATCTTCTAAAAGAATTGTAGAACGGTCACTGAAAACTACAAGGATCAATATTGTAATTTTTTTAATAATTAATCCGTCATTGATAATAAGTAGGGCTGGGCATAGAGTTATTTGAACCACACAATCTGTTCAACCCGAACCAATTCGCATACAAATGGCTGGTTTCGCAGATACAATAAGAGCAGATGCGGTTTGGAATATGGCATTATTGTGGATTGTGGGCAAGTTGTAGGTTTTACTCACACCCGCAAGAACCCACCCGCACTAAGACCTTTTTTAAATTTTTTTTTTTTTAATGATGGAGTTTGCGAGTTTGTAAATGTTTTTATTTTATTTTATTTAATGTGTTTGGACGAAATTTGACAACAATCTATTGTTATTTTATTATTGCATTTTGGATGAATATAAAAGTTAATGAAGAATTACTTTTAGAAGAGTTTAGGATTTTAAATGATTTTACTTTAATTGTATTGTTGGGTAGTGAATGATTTTAATGATTTAGTTTAGGATTTTGAAATATTTACTTTGTGTTAGTTTATGATTTTATTTAAAAGTTTAAAATTTTGAATGATTTACTTGTATTAGGAATTGATTTTGTTGTGTTTTTAATTTTATAAGTTTTAATTCATTATTATTAATGTTGAGTATTTTAGAAAATGAGAGAAAAATGGCCCAAAATAAATATTTATAAAAAGGGGAAAAAAAAAGGTCCAAAAATAATTTTTTTTAAAAAAAATTCCAATCCGCAAATTGCCCGCAACAACCTGCACATCCGCAAACCATATCCGCACAAATTGTAACCTACACTGCGAGCGATTGTGAATTCAATTTTTTCCAAACTATACATATGCGGACGGATTCAAACAGCAAACCAAACCGTCTAAAATAGAATCCCAAGCACCCTTAATAATAATGGGCCCAAATATTCCAAAAAGAGTGTACAAGAGTAGTTAACAGAGGTAGCCAAGTTAGTTTTTTTTTTTTTGGGATGAATAGTTAGTTAAGTATTTCACTCTTCTACTAAGTGGATTCATGAGGCATAATTAATTTTGACTCAAAATTATTTACTTAAAAAAGGGACTAATTTGAAAATTCAAAGTTCAAGAGATATAATTTATTTTTGTCAAAAAAGAGGAATTTT